TCAGAGTGCACGGGATGGGGGGTCATGACCCCCTTTCATTCCCCAGCCCAGCCTCGATTTAGATGTGTATATTGGCGACCAAGGTCTCACGGCCACAGGTCCCGCCAAAACTGTGATCTCCAGCGTTGTCTCTGGTGCTCGCCGTTTGCGTCCTATTGTGGGGGATGTCCTATGCTGCTGCATCGCGGTGGACAAGACTGCCATTGTTGCTCCTCGAAGCATGTTGGAGATCAAGTTTCGGCCCTTCTTTCTGATGTGTGGTCTGTTAGTTCTTCTACGGCTCTGAAATTTGGTGCCGGCTACACGGCTGGTCGCGCCCTCAGAGGTCGAGGCCGCGCGGCCAAGCTCAGGGCCGGGGTCGCGGCTGCCAGCAGGGGGGGCACTCGGCTTCGCAGACAGAATATGGTGATCAAGAGAAGTGCCAGCAAACATGTTATATATATGTATATACATATATCTGTATATCTACATATATATATATATATCAGATGCCATCATGATTGTTATTCGTATTCTTCTTACTATATACATATAAACCTATATGTATGTATATTATATATCACTAAGTGTACATACAATCATATGTATATATAACAGCTGGCCCTCTTGCTGGTGTGAGATACGGGAGTGAGGTTATTGGTATTTCGGATACTGAGCTATTCCTCATCCGTCGTCGTCTCTTTAGCACCGTTCGTTCTCACTCTCAATTGCGCTCGCTCGCCACCTCGGCTAGTCTTGGCGGAGACCCTTGCTGGCGCGTGGCTTGTTCGTCCCTTATTCGTCGGGCGAAACAGGTATGGCTTGCCCAGGCGTCCCAGCTTGCGTGGTCTATCAGCCTGCCAGAGCTTCGCCGTGCATGGTCGTCTGTTTTTGGCAAGGACAATTGCTCATGGCCGCGCGTTGCTGGTCTGATTTCTGCTTTGCGCATGTCTGTCTCCAGGCCCGGTTGGTTTATGACGTGCGTTTTGACGATCAAAGATGGTGGGGGTTTCTCTATTCACCTTGGCATCATGTCTCCTTCGTTAATCAAGTAGCTCTGTCACGAAGCCCATCTCCGTTCCCTCGCGAGAGATGCAGCTGCCAAGAAAGGAGTCAAGCACAGGTTGTGTTGACATTGTGAGGGGGTCTCTTGCCAGTAAAAAGTTCACCTCTCTTGAAAAGAGTAGGATCCGCGCCCTTGCCACCGAGGCCTTTCCCGCTGCGGGGCGCGCTCAAGTTGGGGCATCAGGTTCGCATCGCTTGCTCCTTGCGTGGCAGGCCCGACGCTCTTTTTCGCAGACTGGACTTTTTCTCACAGCTCGGTCACTGCCGTTCGGAAGGAAGAGGTGAAGGAGGAGGATATTGCGTTGGCTCTCAGGGCTGAAGAGTTGGGTGGAGATCTCCTTGTTTTTACCTGAGGAGCTTTCGCTCATCCCGCCGGCTCTTACCCTGGCCCCTCCACGGAACACTCTGGCTGTCCTATCGTGGTGTGGCATGAGCGTGATCAGGTTTCGCCCATAGACCCTCGTGCTCCCACCACTCTTTGGGGCTCGCTGTTTATAGATGGGTCGTGCTACAGACTTCCCATCCGTGAGCTAAGCCGAGCAGGCTCTTGTATTGCTATGGTGGATGATGTGGGATCTCTCGGGGCGGAATTCCGTGCACCTGTGTGGGCCCCGTATCCTCGGGCTCCGCAGGGATAGGAGTGCTCGGCCTACACATGGGCCCACGTTTTAGCCTTCCTGGTTGCTCCCAAGCTTTTCCAGGCTGCTCCAATATGGTGAAGTTAGCCAATGAGCCTCGCGCTTATCATTTGTCTGGCAAGCGTGTCTATGCTGGTGCCTGTCTCCAGTGTTACTCTTCCTCCTCCTCATCCTTCTCCTGCTCCCTCCTGCCGCGCGAGAAAGTTGCTGCTCGCGAGGATGTGGGCGAGGTCGTCATTGATAGTCGGGGGAGGTGGAGGCGTGTGGGAAATCGCCATGCGGACGTCGGCGCGAAACATGTTGTCAATCTGCGTCCGAAAGATGAGGGTGCTCCAGTCTCCTTCGA